GAAATAACCTTAGGTGATTCGCAAAGGTTTATGTTTATTTAACCTATAATAAGACAAGCCATTTATCTAATGTGACCACTTTGTTCTTAATACCGTCTTAAGATTGTTAAGATCATAATCAAAAGAAACCCATCTCAAGCCTATTCAGTGGCCCCAGTGTGACCGCGGCCTAAGTGATGTCGTTGAAGAACCTCAGTCCTTTAACTCAGTATACAACACACAGAAGCTTAAGGCCTCATTTGAACCAAGTTTATTTTACCTACAATGCTACTGAAAAGCAACTTTAGCCGTTTATTTCATTGAAGTATTCTTTCAGCTGATGGCACTGGTCATGGTATACTGTCCAAAGCTCAGTACTGACTTTAGTGACCATCAATCAGGACACGAGTGTCTTTTATGGCTGAGTTCAATCGGTTGTTGTATGAAGTATGAACAAAGAATCAATAATAAATCATATCAATGATTCAAATATTGTTGCTCAACATTGAATAACTTATTATTATTTTATAGTATAAAATAATGCAGATATTTCAGTCAAGCGTTTACAAGCCTTATTACTATTCTCCATAACAACATGAAATAGAAAAGCATTGAATAATTTGGTACTTTATTTAAAGCAAGTCAGGAGGAAAGTTGAACACTGCGTCATAAATAAAAGCTAAAGCCGGTCGTAAGTATTTTACTAACGTAAAATACTTATTGCTGTCAGTTTACCTGTTAAATGTCGTTGGTAAAAGTGATAGACTGCCATTTCTTGAAATACGTACAGGGTATGAAGCTTGTCCACCGGATGGATTGTTTGCAGTAAACATCATAGTACGCGTCTCTCGAACAACGAATTTATAGACACACACTTTGTTCGTACAAATTTCAGCATAAACTTCATTTCTTTCAATGTTTAACGCCAAAATAATGTATATTAAGATTGCCTGCCGATTCATGATCTTCGCCGTCTCAAACCGTTCTGGCTTATGCACTTGACAGCCCAGTCATTTCGAATTCACTCACGTGTAGTGAAAATGCAGTGACGTAGCTCTGGGCAAGAGAGTTCGTCTTATGCCCTCTTGCTCTGGGCTGATCTAAGTCAGGGCATGGCTATCTTACAGATCGAACCCTGAAACAACCTCTGGGCTGATCTAAGTCAGTGCACGACTAACTCACAGATCAAACTCTGAAACAATCTCTGGGCTGATCTAAGTCAGGGCATAGCTAACTCACAGATAGAACCCTGAAACAACCTCTGGGCTGATCTAAGTCAGGGCATGGCTAACTCACAAATAGAACCCTGAAACAAACTCTAGGCTGATCTAAGTCAGGGCACGACTAACTCACAGATCAAACTCTGAAACAAACCTCTGGGCTGATCTAAGTCAGGGCATGGCTAACTCACAGATAAAACTCTGAAACAACCTCTGGGCTGATCTAAGTCAGGGCACGACTAACTCACAAATAGAACCCTGAAACAACCTCTAGGCTGATCTAAGTCAGGGCACGACTAACTCACAGATCAAACTCTGAAACAAACCTCTGGGCTGATCAAAGTCAGGGCATGGCTAACTCACAGATTGAACCCCGCCTTAAGCATATGAATGTTCGTACGGACACGTGACGACGGATGGATAAATGTTTCAATTTTTACATATATACCGTAAAGTTTCGGCGATTTACTTTAGCCAGGACCAAGATATCGTATATTGATTTAAAAAAAGATAAAAGGAAAAATATTATAAAGTAGATTTATTTGGAGGGATTCTAATAGTGCAAAATCTCGTACTCAGAGCCTGCGTTTCTTCTGGCCTGCGGCGAAGAACGTTCGTCGCAGGCCAGAAGAAACGGAGGCTCTGGGTATGAGATTGAAAAGGGCAAATTCAAATATAGACTCTTCCACAGTCTCTCGCTCGACTATTCCGTCTCCACGCTTAGAGACTGTAACGGTACAATGACCGAAAGGACTTATGGGTTCCGAAAACTTGGACCCAGCGTGCTTTGGGAACCAAAATACTCGTCCACAGTCTCTCTCGTTTTCGCCGCCATCTTGAAAATATTGAAACGAGAGAGGGAGGGAGCGTTGCGTGACGACCGACACTAAAAACGGATGCGAGGGAGACTAAAGATAGTGCTCTTCACAAACAATTCGGAACTATGAAATTTTTATTTGATAAAATTCTCAACTAATTAAGGAAAATGTTGGTAAATTCTAAATTTTTGCTTTCTTTAAAAAAACAACTGTTTATTTTTTATTTCTTTTGCGATAATTTTTTAATTGTAAACATCTTCCTTTTAAGAAAATCTTACACCTTGAACTGCAAAAATATAGCTAAAAAAATAAATAAATTACCCTCAACTGTATTAGTTTGTATGTTTAAAATGTTCTATTTATTTCAGCAGCGTTTTTGAGTTAAAAAATCTAATTTTTTTATCGAAAAGTTTAAATAAAAATAAGGTAATCTCTAAGAGTGAAATCACGATCTTAATAAAACCATCTTCCAACAACCCGCCTAAATACTGTCAACAATTTAAGAACGTCATCATCAACTGTAGCTCTGAACTAACGATCGTTCCTCCCATGTGAAAATCTTGAAACATTTTGAAGTTCATTCTGAAGAGTTTCCCTAGAAAAAGGGTTTGAAATATGAAGAATTTATGCTTCATAGTTGTTCTTGTTGGTGTTGTTTGGCATTCTTTTACGCTTGGATTCCCTCATGGTGGCTATAAATCACCAGTTAAACGTTCTGACTACTCAATGTACGACAACCAGTTCTGTAAGTAAATATGATAACTCATTAGGGATCGACCTAGAAACAATTCCTAAACTAACACTTCCATAAAGCACTGTCAATTCAATTTATACATTTTTTTGTGTCAAACTTGCATGCAATAAAAAGCTGAAATATTTTTTCTTCAAAACAAAGTTAGCGAAATTTAAAGTTAGTTAGCGTTTTGTCTTGTGTACTGATTTGATAAGTTTCCAACTCCTTTTTTTATTAAAGATGAATTTCAAAGATAAATTTGGGGTTAAGAATAGTACTTAGTTACTCAAAGTGGCTCAATGGGAATTTACTTTTTGACCGTTAAAAACACAAAAATGAGGCGGAATGTTGAACCAATTGTCAATTTAGTTAAGCAGTCAATAAGTAGGTCAAAAATTAAATGGCGGGGGGAATGTGATTAACAAAACGCTTCAAAACCCACGTATATTCTTCTGGTTTCTTTTATAAACTGGTTCGGTAATTGAAATCCAAAAGTGTTTAATAAAATTACTAGATTATCAATAAATTTGGACATATGAATCTATGAAGAAACGATCGTTAGTGATGGTCATCAAGTGGTGTAATGTCAAAACCATTGAGAAATGACAAAATGATGATTGACTTGTAAGACTGTACACAGGTAACCCAAACTCATCTGTTTGGGGATGGGCACAATGTTTTCACGAAAGCTTTAAAAAATCGGAAGAAAAAAATTGCTGATTTTTGTTGAAGATTTCTTAATAACATTTTTCCAAAAATCATCCTGTGGAATGTATAAGAATTGTTTCGATAGGATACTTCCAAAAACCAATCTTACTTGCTGTGGAACTTTAACCATATGATATATAAAAAAATAATTTTTTTCAAGTTTCTGTGGGAGATACACCGCTGGACAACGAGGTGACAGACTGCGCAGTTGTAAGGCATCAGTACGCGAGAGGTTACATCAGACTTAGGGAGTATCTTGAAAGGATGCAAGGTTGTGGTACAGCTGGTAAGTATGCATATATGTCTTGCCTTGCCTTGCCTTGCCTTGCCTTGCCTTGCCTTGCCTTGCCTTGCCTTACTCAAAAGAGTTCTCCATTACTACTTTAACCTTACAGGAAAACGAAAGAATATCGCAGGAATAGCTGCAGCGACACAAGATGCCACGACCTTGACGTCAGATGGTTTTCGTATTCCCACAAACAACGTAGTTCACGTTGCTCCGTTCAAGCCAAGACCAATTGGACAACGTAAGTACAACTGCTCAGCGGTTGAACCTATGCGCGTGCGCAGAATTTAAACTAGCTCTCCGATAAGTGATTTGGATGGAAACAATACAAATCTTCATCAAACAACGATATGTATTACAACATTATTAGAGGTAATAGTTCGTCCAGCTCCTCTCGTCTAAATCTAGGAGAGAGGATTACAGATATTAATATTCATTATTATATTACGAATCTATAATTTCAGTTATAGATAATATCGGCAACAAACAAGCACAAGTAAAAGCATACAATGGCCAAGGTATGTCAAAAAATAAAGAAACATGTTTGCGATAAACGTTTTGCTATTTTCCTTGAGAGAAACGATTGAGAATCTGGGTGATAATCTACCACTCCGA